AATTTTATTGTAAAAACACCAAAACTAAGCCACAATATGTAGCCTTACAGCTGATGAATGTTATAATACCAGTTGCTGATAAAGATGTTTCCATGTACAGCTCAACAAGTAAAATCATATTTTATAAGATACAGTAAACTTCACGAATCACTAAATGATTGTATCATTAATTAATTGTAACTTTGAGTGTTTTTAATTTTACTGGATATGCTTGTAGGTATTACAATGGTTATTGAGATTACGTATTCAATAAGTGTTCGTAAGCGCTCACGCTTCTTGACATTGTTGTTTTTAATTCTAGTTCAGGCTGACAGGAAACTTGATTATAATTATCAATGAAGAACACCGTGTGGAATGAATTTGTATTTATTTATTAATAAGTGGTTCTTTGATAATTACATAATATTTCTGACAGATTACATAAGGTCCCGGAAATAAATATTTGCCGAGTAAAGTATTGTTCTGTATCTTGACACATTAAGTGCTGTTTCTGACTCATCAGGAACTTCTGTAAACAGCTTTAGATCCTTAGTTTACATGTTTAACACCGAACATTTGCAATACTGTATGTTGTTCTGTATCTAGACACATTAAGTGCTGTTTCTGACTCATCAGAAACTTCTGTAAACAGCTTTAGATCCTTAGTTTACATGTTTAACACCGAACATTTGCAACAAGAATTAAATATTGTAAGTTACTGATCTTCGTTCTCGGGTAAACGTTTTAACACAAACACTGACACATTCTACTCGGAGAGAGAAATAACCACATATTTTACTGGTAAGAAAGTCCATTGTGAACTGCATATAGCACATTCCATATAAGCGTGGCGAAGTATTTGAAACTCACATTAAGAAAAAAGGTATTAATATCATTTTTGCACAGATTTTAGTGATATGTAATAACAATGAGATATTTTTTTTACAGTAGAATGTACAAATTATTAATGTCTTCTATAGATACACAGATGTTTTTAAACAAACTTAGTTTTAAATCATCTGATAACAGTAAGTTGAGACGGTCTGATAAATAAATCCAGGTCTCATTCGTATATAATCATTGGTTCTCTAGTCTCAGGTTCTTTTTTGGTGTAAATGATTCACAACTCTGTTTACCCCCATTTCACCAAGAATACGTTGCGAAGTGCTGAAAAGTAAAACGTTTCGGAAGAAAATTATCTGCGTTGAATGACAAAAAGTTATTAACACAAACAACATATAGAAGAAGACTAAAATCAAAATATTTAAGGCTGGTATTCGAAACAGTCAACAGCTTTGTGTTCAGAGGAATATGATTCAGGGAAAGGTCAAAGGTTATCACTGAAGACAACACACTATCATGGTTTCGTGGAAAACACGTGAAGCTACTGGAGAATATGCACGAGAGAACATCTGCAAAGCTACAGGAACCATTCTGAACATGTGTTGTTATTCCGACGTAATATATTATATCACCCGGATATATCACTTACGGTATCAGCTATTGAAACAATAAGCTGCAACTCTGATAATCTGTAATACTAATATCCTTGAAACAAGACCCGGATATATCACTTACTGAAACAATAAGCTGCAACTCTGATAATCTGTAATACTGAGATCCTTGAAATAAGACCGGTATATATCACTTACGGTAGCAGCTATTGAAACAATAAGCTGCAACTCTGATAATCTGTAATACTGATATCCTTGAAATACAAACTTAATACTTTGTAAGAAATGAAGTATCTAAATAACGACTCCGCCACATCTCTTTAGGAAAATAAGACAAACTTAATACTTTGTAAGAAATGAAATATCTAAATAACAACTCCACCACATCTCTATAGGAAAATAAGACAAACTTATTACTTAAGAAATGAAGTATGTTTTAAACAGCTTACGTGAATTAAACTTATTTTCCTAAAGAGATGTGGCGGAGTCGTTATTTAGATACTTCATTTCTTACAAAGTATTAAGTTTGTCTTATTTTCCTAAAGAGATGTGGCGGAGTCGTTATTTAGATACTTCATTTCTTACAAAGTATTAAGTTTGTCTTATTTTCCTAAAGAGATGTGGCGGAGTCGTTATTTAGATACTTCATTACACAGCACTATCAAATTCTGTATTACTTGTTACACAGCCCAAATTCTGTATTACTTATTACACAGCACTAACAAATTCTGTATTACTTATTACACAGCACTACCAAATTCTGTATTACTTATTACACAGCACTACCAAATTCTGTATTACTTATTACACAGCGCTACCAAATTCTGTATTACTTATTACACAATTAGCCGGATAAACATACACATTTAATAGTATTTTTAGTATAATTCCAGATTACAGTAGAGGTTGCGGTCGACAAAATTAGCCGGATGAATATAAACGCTGATCTGTATGATATTTCTTCTAGATTTGGGTATCATAGCCATAGCCCAAGTGATGACGTTATGCCAGATATGTCAGGTTATAGCAGATTTTGTTACAAACATTTTTTTTCTCTATTTTCCCCGTAATTAACACGAATGGCGGCGAGCAGAGATTTCGTCTAACGTTATTAGTGGCGAAACTAATCACATGTCGACAGCAGTTAGCGTGCTAAAAGCAGTGATATTAACTAGTTTATTGTTTGCCAACCGAACAAATAACTGAAATTTGCCAATTTCAATGACTGAAATCAAACGCCTTTAAGGTGAAGAACGCACTGTTTTCCTAATATTACCTTTTCATTTGGATTTGTTAGAAGAAAAGAACTTTCAGTTTTATAATCATCATCTCATGAAACGTCTCGAGTTTTATAATTGCTAGGGGCAGTTTCTTCTAAAGTTTATTATGAAGTTCTTTTCTGAACTAATTGAGTTTTCAGACTCAGGTTAATTGAAAATCTGGAAGAAGAAAACAAGAAAAATACCATTTGCTAAATAAATAATATAGAATTTGTTAGTGCTGTGTAATAAGTAATACAGAATTTGGTAGTGCATTAGTATAATTCCAGATTACAGTAGAGGTTGCAGTCGGCAATACTAGTGAGTCTTTCATATAGATAACTTACTTCAACAAAAAAAGATGACAACAACTTAAAACGTAAGCACCAACGGCATCATACAGAGATGTATAACCAATCTTTTCAAAGCTAAAAGTGACTTTCACAATGCTTTTCTTGGCTTTATTATATAATTTCGGTGTTCATCTTAAACAAGTTACAATAAACCTGCATCTATTTTAATAGTATTATTACGACGTTTCCAGATGACGATGGAGGTTGCAGTCGACATTATTAGCCGGATAAACATACACATTTTAATAGTATTATTAGTATAATTCCAGATTACAGTAGAGGTTGCAGTCGGCAATATTAGCCGGATAAACATACACATTTTAATAGTAGTCAATCTCACCCTTGAGTAGAAAGACTATTAACATACATCTAGATAGTTCTTTGACGTTCAATAATTAAGATTACGATAGAATATTATAAACTTTAGAATTATATAATCTTCTCCTCCATAAAGTTTCATTGTTATTTTTATTCTATCCCAAATAAAATGTGCGAGATACAACTTGTTTCAGCGTAAAATGGTCTCAATTTGCTCTGTCCACTGCGGAGAATCAAACTCCGGGTTTTAGCTTTGCATATCCATAGATTTACCGCTTACTCATCAAATAACTAAAACAGTGGTAATGTATGTTACTAAAAGAAATGTAATTGAGCTAAGAACGGTTTTAAAGATTAATACATGATAAAATTGAGTG